AGTAACACATAGACATCAAGAAGATGAATTCAAATTTTATCATAAAATCTGTCGTCTGATGGTAATATTCCTTTTGAATGTTAAATTCAGTCAACATATATATATAAGTTGTACGGAACAGTGCATAGATATATTGTCTATCTTGTTCATCTTATTTTCTTTAACAGAAATAAAATTGCACATCATTTTAATGAATTACAATTAATTGCTAAGTAATATGTCAAAATGTAGCTTTCCTAGTTCACGGACATATTTTTTTCACTGGTTAAATAATTTAGATACATATGTCCAGGGATATTTATCATCCATATTGTAGATAAAATGTAAGGTTAACATTCAATTTCCATTATGTTTTTTTTTGTATAATCAATTACTTATTTGTAAGGAGAAGAAAATCGATGTTTCATAGATTGTTAAAGGGTAAAAACCTACGGCCTAATTAATTTTTAACAGTTTATAGTTTTTCACTCCAATGAAGAAAACGACAGTTGCTAATAGACTTAATAAGATATGTGAATTTTAAGCTTTTCTATTCATCCTTCTATAAGAGTGTTCTTGCTTCTAAGATGACTCTATTTATGTTTTCAGTACATTCTTAGATGAAACAAGTCTACTATCGGTTAAATTATTTAAATAATACCATGTCTGGATTTAATATCTCAAACGATTCATTTAATCAATTTTGTCCGAATAATTGTAGAGAGTGAAATGTGTATAATAATACACAGGTAAATCTCTTCCTATGTACACATTTTTCGATCGATCTGCCTCTTCTTTTTTTGTTTAACAAGATGTTAGAAAATTAATACACTTTCTACAAGGTGAAAGTGATTTTCAAGTTTGGACTTAAGATTTATTTTCTACTAACAATCCGATCGACAATAATGAATACCTTATCTATATAATGGTTATTTACATCTCCATTTGGATAGCTTTTCGAACAATCCATATTAGAATTTTATCTAAAAAAAGTACTCGTTTAGGATGGGGTGTAAAAGTGAACACATCTGTCTTTCATTAGTCTGTCTATTATAAATAATGATGAACACAAAATGAACACTTGTTGTACGTGTTAAAAATAGTTCTTTAGAAATATCCTCAGAACCGATTTTTTTTCCAGATATTTGTTGATGCACAAACCAAAGTATCTTATTTCAAAATATATTGATAATCAAAGCTAAGACATTCAGGGATATTGCATGTTTCCTTCTTATATTTATATGTTTTCATAATTAAAAGCCAAGAGTATCTTTTAAACCTTCGTTTATAACCAATTTAGGTTTCAGACCAGACACTTTGGAATATATCAGTATTGAAAACAATACATGTTTATTATTGGGGAGGAAGGACTCCTAATTTATGAACTTTAGGTAAACCATAGTGCTTCTGTGTGTTTGATATAGCGGATTTAAGTGAATTATAAAGTGCTGGTGAAGTCATATTTCATTTTAATTCAATAAAGTAATTAACCACTTTACTCACATTCTATCAGTTTGCGTTTTCATTGTCCCACAATGTCTGAAACTTTGTGTGATGGTTTATTTATCTTATCAATGCAACATACATAATTCACTAAAAATAGCCTTCCTGTTTCACCTCATTTACTTATAATCAATATGTCATTATTATTAAACTTCTTTAAAGCATTCTTATATTGTTTATCTAATAAATATTGCGTATCATAATTACTGTTTCATTCTTCTATTAGCTAATAACTGATATAAGTTTAAAACTACCAGGTTTGTTATGTAGTAACCTTCTTTTATCAAGAGAATGCGATTGGTTTAATGGAAACAATTATTATTATAACCAATTATACTAGTGATTGTTTTACTGTACTTGTTTGTATAACTGTGCTAAAAACATTCTTTCTTCCGTTGATTTTAACCTTGCACGGATTCGGTTACACTCAGTAACCACACTTGTACTCCTTTGGTATTCTTTCGATACCACGAGATCGCCAAAAAATGCATCTCGACTACAGCCATCAACTGCCTTCTGATATTTGGCCTACGGGGGATCTTATCGGTTAATTGGCACGTAGTCTTCCTGTATTGGTGATCATAGTAAACCACGACTCGACACCACACAACAGTTAAATGAACTAGAGATTAGGCTTACTGCACGTAAAAAATAATTCTTTAATGAAATATTTGGGTTTTTAGTTGATCAATTTTATGACCATAGTTACATAATTTGACTACGATTCTAGAATTAAAGTGTTATCAAACTACATGGTTCGTTCTTACCATAAAATGACGTTGAAAAGGAAACATCTACCTAAGAATCATAAAACCTATGTTTCAAAGTGTCCACGCATTGATTTCTAGGTAAATAATGTCCAAACGTTTAAAACTTTTACAGTTTATGCACTAAAATCCACGTGATACTCAAATTGTATGCAGAAAAATTTTCCCTTGACAGAACTACTAGTTTTACGTGGTTCGTAAAATTCAATGATTACTTTGATCACATGAGAACTACCTATGTATAATATCATCAACCAAAAGATTTTAGTTATATTTCATTTCATTTTTGATATAAATTATTGCATATTTGTATGCAACACTGTTACTTTTGAAATAAAGGATTGAGAGTTGTGAGTCACTGTTCTTCGAATTTTTGTATTACTTTAAAAAAAATTTATATTTACAACCTGACTTTATGTTCTATTGTAAGTAGACATATAATATATTTACCAAGTATCTATTAGCGGCGTCTACTAGAAAAGAACCCACGAAATTTGTTCTTCATGTCTGTAATATTAGAAAACTGATTAACTATGGATACAAAACCTTACTACATCTGACCTCGAAAAGTATAGTCTGCCAACATAATGTGAAAGCTGAACTACTTTTTTCACTTCAATAAACAAATTACTCTGATCAATACATTTCCAGTGTTTAGTTTTCATGACAAAATTCAAAGTATATATATATATATATATATTCATATACTTTCTGCGTAGTTTGATTGTAGTAACACACAAAATGCTAACAAAATGTTCATAAAATTATTGTCTGATGTCAAATGTTTCGTTATTTATACGTTTAGTTGAAAAGATTTTGATGTGCGCGATTTTCAATGTGACTACTCTATTGATAACCCATAATTACTTTATATAAAACTTCTTGCAAACAAAAGTGTCCAGATCTAATTGTTTTCGAATATTTGGTGAATAACAGAATATCTATTACAGTTAGTTACAAATTAAGAAGAGACGGATGATATGAAATTCACAACGTTGGCGAGACTATACGCTGATTGAAATGTAATCACTAATGTTTTTGAAATTCTATCGAAGTATCTAGGTAATTGTATCCAGGAGTTAGGTTGTGTTATTGGTTTAAATTTTCGTGGTGTTATTATGAACCAATGATTTTTTTGTACTTGTTGACTGTCTGATTTCAGACTCCAATTACAATACTTTCGTTAGTGCTCATCTAGTACTTCATGGTTAAGTTGCGTTATTTCTGGGATTCTTAGTTTGTACTGTTATTCAAATATTCCTAATCATCACAGTTTCTCGGTATCACACGCTGACATGGTGTGAGTTAATCGTTTGTTAGAAAGAAAAATTTTGGACCTAGTATTCTATGTACACACAAACAAGTATTCATACCGGAATGTGGCCAGTCCTTAACCTGTGCCTCATCAGCAGTCCCTAGCCAATAAGCGCAACAAAATGTTTTTTGGCCAATTCTTAGCTCACTTTCATTACAAACAATTGCTCTTTAGAACAAGTTATTGTGGTACAATGTCTGCACAACTTTCATCTTGTACTGTCAAACCGAGAATCGATGTGTTGGCATATTACAACGATAGACACTCATTATCCCGTAAACAACGTGGGTGTCCTCTCAGATTTCAGGGAATTACCAAACAAATGAAAGCAGTGAATAAGACTTGCAACTCTGCTTTCGACACTGTCGTAACTATCAGGGTTTTGATGCATAACTAGGTGAGAGGATTCATCAAAGAAAGCAACCTTTTTCACAAAGTACAGCATGGCTTAGAAAAAATCATGTCCTGTACAACAAACACTGTGTTAAAGTGATGCAGTCGAACAGACTGCTATTATCAGAAAGTCTGTACATGTATTACTCCCAAAATTCGCCGAACCAATAGATGAAGTCCCGCGCATCGTTATGCTTGTTAAGATAGAGCGAATCGGGTTCTAATGTCAACTGTTCTCTTACTTAAAAAACTACCAAAACGATCAAGGCTTATGATTTAAAATTAATGGCGTGCATTCAAACTAGTGGGTGTCACTGTCTGGAGTATCACGACGAGCATTACTGACACATTAATTTTTTCCATGTTTATCAACAACCTACTAAAAACCTTTTTTCCCCAGTTATCATTTATGCAGTCAAAAAAGAGCAGCAAAAAGGTGTAAAACGTGAGGGCGATTCACATGAGTTTAAAAAGAACACTGAACCACTTCAACCTGCATATATAGCAAACGATTCCATAATGGACTACAGAGAGCAGGTCGCCTAATTTCATACCATCGCCTTTTTAGATCTCTGGAGAAGTTACACCCAGTATTTTGCTACCAGAAAGTTCGGATACCAGCTAACAGGGAGGTCTAGTCAAAGCATATGTAATTCTTCACTTCGTCCAAAGACAGCCACTCATGTTGAGTTGTGAGCTTTTTCAACAATATTTAAGGCGTATAAACATCTGAAAGCTCACGAGATCGTCTCACACTTTCTCCTTAGAAGCGATGTAAATCTTTAGAACTTATTTATGCCGCTCCTCTTCGACTTTTTTCATCTTTTTGTCTTTTTTTTAATCAGTCAACTTATTTACATCGATCGATCCACTTCACTCCGCCACTTTATGTTCTCATGCTACACCTTCTGTTTCGCAAATTGGTAGATACTAGTTTTGTCAGATCATTATCCTGAAATAAGAACATTCAAACGAGTTTAAAACAGCACGTAAAGTAAAATTTATGTTTATGATATTCGAGTGACTACAATAACTTCATTTGACGCAATGAAAGACGTTTAGCGTACCTCAAAATCAGTATGGCAGAGTAAATAAGTCGTGTACTTTACACAGGTCATTTACCAGAAATATTGGATACTAAACCCTCAAACTATGCATTAGAACGATTCCGCGGGTTTTCAAATCCTGAATATGTTTACGCTTTTCCCTTCTGTCTTACTATGTGTTACTTTCCTACCATTATATCAAACAATAACGTTTTTCGCGCTGCCATCAAACGTCACCCTGTCCGGATCTTATCTCAAATTATCTTGTTCCTCTGAAAACCAAATATTTCCAATTATTTGGAGTCATAACGGCAATGATATAGCAGAAAACTGTCGATTTTATATAGAAAATCATCGTTATATATGCAATAGACTTAACGATGTATATGAAATTTACATACCGAACGTTAAATTCGAGGACAGGGGTAACTGGTCTTGTGCTCACGGGCCAAAATCCCAAAAAGCTATTAATATTGATGTCTTGGGTGAGTACAGGCATTTTCTCATATTTAATCTTAATCTTAGACGAATTTAAGCGTTCCTTTCTGAATTGTACTGAACTTATTGGTTCCTCAGTCATAGTTCTGTGTATTTGGCTCCAAATCACAATGTTATGTTGTTCTCTTATAAGTAACATAATGAAGTATCTAAACCTCACTAAACAAAGACAGTATTTTGTGGTGATCTAGTAAAAAACGAGAATATATAGGCATGATTTTTGTAGTGATTGACTTTAAAAGTGAAGATTTGTAATTATTATCTCTAATAGTGAATATGTACACTACTCGTCTACCGGTTGAATAGAATTATGACTTTGTTAAGTAAAATATCTGTTCCATTGTCTCAGAAACATCATTCGGGTTCTTGTGTTGAGCAAATCACGCTGGCAATGGATAAAAATTCCCTAGGTATCGACTCCATTTTCTTTTTCAATTAATTATTGATTGTTTGTTTACATACGACAACATGTGAATTACTGTGAGGTAAAAGAGCTATTAGTCTGGTTTTCTTATCACAGACAAACCCTTGACTTCTGCAACGTTTCAATTGAACAAACTTTTTCCGAGGCTAATACGGCAAGCTATATACTGTATACTAGGTTCATTCTCCTCACAGCTTTCGGTTACAGTTTCAGTTTCAGCTTGGGAAGGACAGGAGGCCTGATGGCCTGTGTTAGTCCTGGCAATGGTGATCTTTCAGTTGATCCAACTTTCCTTTGAAAGAATTGACGGATGGAGCCTCAACTACGTGCTGAGTTAATGAGTTCCACTCGTTGATGATTCGATGGGAAAGTCGATAGTCAGCTGACAAGTAATTTGTTCTTGGCTTGTGAACTGTTTTGGAAGACAAGAAAAATGAGGGCATATCAGGTGCAAATTTGGCACTTAGCAATTTGAAAACTGTAATCAAGTCGCCTCTAGTTCTGCGATATGACAACGGGAAAAGGTTCAGTTTGGCCAGTCGAGCTTCATACGGAAGCTTCGCTATTCCGGGAATCAGCTTAGTTGCCGTTCTCTGAACCTTTTTCAGAAGCTCACTGTCTTTTTTTAAGCAGGGGCTGGCCGCTTGTACGCAGTACTCAAGTTTAGGATGTACGAACACTGTATATAAAGTCAAAAACGTCTTAGCGTCGACATAACTAAAAGCCCTACGTATTGACTATAACGTTCTAAAACCTTTGGCGGCTATTGCACGGCAGTGTGCAGTAGTCTTTAAGTCTTGACTAACGATAACTCCTAAGTCATTATATGTCTGGACGACAGGTAGCTCAGTGTTATTCATCGTGTATGTATCTGTACCTTGATGACCGATATGCATCACAACACACTTGGAAGTATTTATCGGCAACTGCTAGGTTTGAGACCATTCAGATACTTTCTTCAGGTCATTTTGAAGTTCTAAGCTATCACTCTTACATCGTATCGTTCTCCATATCTTGACATCGTCAGCATGTAGTAAGACCGATGATGATAGGAGACGAGAAAGGTCATTTACATACAAGAGGAATAGCACTGTCCCCAGAACTGTACTCTGGGGCACTCCACTAGGCACAGTTTCCCAGCTAGATAACTTTGAGTTCACCCTTACTCTTTGTTGACGCCGAACTAAGAAGTCTTTTATCCACATCAATAAATTGCCTCCAATCCCGACTTTTCTTAACTTATATAACAGCCGGTTGCGTGAAACTTTGTCGAAAGCTTTACTGAAATCAATGAAGGCGACCTCTACAGGTAGCTTTTGGTCCTTAAGAGCGCACCAGCTTTCACGAGCCACTAATAAGTTATTGAGACAAGAGTAACCTATTCTGAAACCGTGCTGCTTCTTCGAGAGGATCCGGTTTTCATCGAGGTACTTAAACAACTGCTTCCAAATAATCTCTTCCAAGGTTTTGACAACCACACTAGTTAGGCTATCGGGTCGGTAATTCTCAGATTTGTGTTTCGTACCTGTTTTGAAGACAGGACTTACTATGGCGTTTTTCCAGTCTTTGGGTAAACGACCCTGCGTTACGGATAGCTTAAAGCATATACTTAAAGGGTTCGAAATGAAGTCAGATAATTCCTTCAGTAGCCCAGGATGTAATTCATCGGGCCCCGTGGATTTACCGATGTCAAGCTTATTTAGTAGACCAAAGACATCGAGTTGTTTAATGGTCGCGCTATCCATTGTATGTGGGAGGGGATCTGTATGCGTTGATGGGAAGGGTGCTTCTATGGTGTATACATTGCTGGAGTAGTTTGAGAACACTTGAGCTTTACCAAAGTCGTCCTCCACTAGTGACACGGAAGTACTGTCTCCCCATAGAGCAGGAATATTTCCTCTTCTCTTTGTTCTTTGGTTTATATAAGAATACAAACGTTCAGGACATTCTATGGGTTCCTTAACAATCTTTTCTTTGTAAAACTTACGGAGGGTCGAGGCACAGGTATTCCAGACTTTTCTATACTGGGATTTAGTTTCATCAGTTCCCAGTAACCTAAATCTATCCCACATTTTTCTTCTCTTACGGAGAAGGATGCGAACTTCCCTACTGAACCATGGTGGGGAGTTTCTCGGCCCCTTTGGTATAGTCCAAGGGATGTGGAGTGCGTTAAATTTTAAGTATGAATTTAGAAATGCATCCCAAGCCGTTTTAATTGAGGACTCCTGGTCTATTGTCCAAATTACTAACGATGCTGAGTGCATGATATCTGGTATGTTTGCTTTACAAACGTTAGGTCTGGATTGAGCTAACGCGTGCTCGCGATTGACAGTTATATGGAAGTCGAAAGTTAAAACTGCGTGGGATGTAATGGAGGCTCGCAACGTCATCCACATAGTGAGTGAGTATCAGATCTAGTAAGGATGATTCAGTGTCCGGGTCGTACCTAGTCGCTTCTTTTACATGTTGCACTAGGGCACATGTAATAACAGCATCAACTAGTTCGTGCTCGAAGGAATTTTCTGACGATTCAGTTCGCAGATTTTCCCAGTCTACCATAGATGCATTAAAGTCCCCTAGGATTAGACATCGACCACTTTGTGACCAAGTATTGAGACTGCTTAGCAGGACTTCATTTACCTCACAGCTTGGACTGCGATGGACCAAACCAACCATCAGCTGTTGTCCCTTGCATTTCAAGCGGAGACTAACTAATTCACAAGTCCCACTCTCATGGGATACGCTGTTGATAATGGGATAGCATTCCTAATGAATAGAGCTACTCCCCCTTCTTTACGCTTTTGTATTCTGTCGGCCCTTACTAATGTAAAACCCTCGAAATCAAGTTCCATACTATCTGTAGCCTGTGTCAGCTAGGTTTCTGTAACTGCGATTATGTCTGGCTTTGTAGAGTCAATCTGTACACTTAGTTTCGATCACTTATTAAGTAAGTTTCGGGCATTAGTGTAACAGATTCGAAGCCCATTTAAGTGGCATCGGCATCATTCTCTGTCGAAGCCTTACAACCCGAAAATTTACAATTTTTATGTCCTTTCGCCAACGTCCAACTTAAGTTGTAGTTTTTTTCGGCTTCCTGTCTTTTCACGCGGTCTTCCGACGGCAAGTGCTTACGGACCAAAACTCCTGAACCCTTTAATTTATGTCCATTCTGTGAAATTGAGTCGCGTTCATTCGAAGATTTGAATACTACTTTAAGCAGTTTGAAATGATTTGGTTTCAAGTCCGCTAGACTCCCTAGTTTGTACACCTTTAGCAAGGTGACCCCGGTGATATGTTGATTAAGCAGCTGCTTAATCAGCACAATTTCATGCTCAAAACGAGCTTTAGGTTCAGAGCTCTCGCTCTCCTTAATTCTATGAAAAATAGCTGATCTGTCGCTATGATCAACTTTCGATTTTACTACTGTCGCGGCGGTAGGATTACCTTTTATATCGCTACTTTTTTTCTTCCTTACAACCTGTACCCACTCGTCAACGGTGCTGGGAGAAGAAACAACAGTTGCGTCAAAACTAATGTTGAATTCTGGAAGGTTGTCGACGACCTGAAAGGTCAGGTTATGTTTACCGCTTGAAACCGATCGAGCCTTGTGATTGCGGCTCCTAGGCGTTTCCTGTGGGATCCCATCTGGGAGACGGGGAACAGAAGAACCTACTTTCCTTGAGCTTTTGTTTAAGGCAGGCCCATTTGGAGACTGCTTTTCCTTCTTTGACCGGCGTGAGTCATCTATTATCGAACTAACTTTAGTTTGCTTCATTTCGATTTGCGTGTCGACAGATTGAATGCTGTTTGACGCGTTCCGACTACGCTTGCTAAAACACTTCTTTGCAGCATCAACCAGTGGGATAGCCTCGTTTAACAGGCTGTTTGCATCCGAACAGCACTGTTGACAAAGCCATACGCAACCCTTCTTACTGAACCGTTTGAAAGCCGCAGGCGTTAAGTTCGTGCAAACTTCGTTGTACCAGCTTTGCATACCGCTTTCAACGGGATAACGACAACCCGGACGTTCGCAACTGCTTCTTTTACACTGTCCAGTCATTTAAAAGGAGTCCTTTTCAAAAAGGAACGAGATGCGATAATGCTTAGAAACAAAAAAATAATCAATGACCAAAAAGTCAAGAACTGTAGATTGTTAGGACCAAAAGTACTAACAGATACAATTGAAAATGAGGTACTCAAGAGTACCAACGACAAAACTAATTAAGAGAACGGTAAAAACGGTACTCTAGTCGAATACCTTAACTGAAATAAATTCAATTAAAGTGAAAACAGTAGTCTTAACACGTAATAAACGATCAAAACAATGAAATTTACTCAGCGAGGAAAAATACTACTGTCCTCTTTAAATAGCGCGTTACGAAAGAAAAATCTTCATTTAAGCCTTCAATAACTGTGTATCGGTAATTTAGGGCGGGTATTATCGATGTCTGGCCGTTTATACAGAAACGACTAAGTTTTTGGATTCTTATGTTATTATTCACTGTCTATTACGGGAATTCGGTTCGTTTTTTAACAGTGAGAATTCATTCGGTTCTCTTTTTC